CTGCTTATATAGTGTCTATTTATAGCCCCACCCCCACCCCACGTCACCGGCCCCCGCCCGCCCCGTGAGCTCAGCGACTGCCTGTGGGAAGGGGAAGTGGGTTGCTAGGTGCCAAGAGTTTGTTTGGGGTTCAGGGTGCCCCTGCAGCTTCCGGAAGGGCCTCTCAGTTTCCTAGAAGCTGAGAACATCGAGGTGGCAGCTCGACTCCACTTTTCTCACCTTCATGGGGCGAGGGGTGAAAGGGGTGAAAGGAAGAGGAACCAGGTGCTGGGATGACGACTCCTCCTCCTCCTCCTCCTCCCCCTCCTCCTCCCCCAGAGCCAGGACAGGCCGGTCACCTGGTCCTTTGGGGCTTTGCAGCCTCCTGCCTTTCTTCGCTCCTTGTGTTTGGGGTCCTCCTCCGCACCCCCATTCTGCCCCAGACCCCTGCAGCCCCAGCCCCAGGAGGCTGGGAGGCTGGGCAGGCTTGGGGCAGGCCAGGACACACGTGCGCCCCGTTTTCTCCCCCGCCCCGCCCCCTGTGCTCCAGGCCCGTGCCCCAACAGCGCGCCCGCTATATTTAGGAGCTGCCAGCAGATCCCGGGAGCTATAAATACGGCCTGGCCGCTCGGCGCAGCCTCCAAAGTCCCCCGGCCGGCCGGGCTGGGACGAGTTTAGAGCGAGGGGTTAGCGGGAAGCCAGCTGGGCTGGGTGGGGTCTTGCAGGAGAGGGCCCCGGCCAGGTGGCCTCAGGGGAACCCAGGTGCCCAGCCTGCAAGAAGAGGCGAAAGGCGGCTGCGGCCTGCCCCGGCTGGAGGGTCAGGGCTGGCCAGCGGCCTCCCGCCCTCTTCGTTGTCGGCTGGGGCTTCCTGGCCCAGGGACAGCTGTCTGGCCGCACAATAGCCGTGCCGCCCTCCTGGAGCCGCTGCCGGCTCATCCGCGGGGCTGCCCGCCCCTTCCTCTGCCATTGTCTCCCGGCCGGGCATCCTGTCACCCCCTCCGCCCCGGGACCCCGGCTGACCCCCGCCGCCGCAGCCCAGGCGCGTGCGGGTGCTGGGCACGGGCCGGCGGCACAAGAAGCCTGTGGGGCGCGCCGGGGTCCCCTGGTCTCTCTCCCCACCGCACAGGGCAGCGAAGAGAAGCCCCCCCCCCCGGCTCTGAGATCGTCCTTCTTGTCGCTGGCAGGGCGTCCACTGCCAGCTGCAGCCCGCAATGCGTCCACCCCCTCACGGCCCCCGTGGGCGCCTGGAGGACTGCCAGCTGTTTCACAGATGGGGAAACTGAGGCCCTGAGAGGCTGCCCCCCTCCCCCATCGCCTGCCCAAGACCCAGCACCAAAGCGAGAAGAGGCGGGTGTTGCCTTCTTCCCAGCCCCCCCGTCCCTGCGCTCCCAGCGCCCGGTGGCCGTCCCTCCCACCGCGCGCTCCTGTGTCCAGCGCCCCCAGCCCTCTGTGCACCCCCCCTCCCAGCCCCCCAGTGTCCACCCCTCCCAGCCCCGTGCCCACCCCTTCCGCCCCCCAGGTGTCACGCCTTCCAGCCCCGCGCCCCTGTGCCCACCCCGGGCCCTCCCAAGCCCCCCAGTGGTCCACCCCCCTCCAGCCCCCCTGTGCCCCCCTCCCAGACTCAGTTGTCCACCCCTCCAGCCCCCGGTGTGCCCAACCCCCCGCCCAGCCCCCGTTCGCCACCCCCTCGCAGCGCCCCTGCCCCCTCCAGCCGCCCCCATTGGCCACCCCCTGCCCAGGCCCCCCCGTGCCACCCCCTCCCAGCCCCCGTGCCACCCCCTCCCAGCCCGCCTGCTGGCCACCCCTCCGCACCCCGTGGCACCCCGACACCAGACACGCGATAGACACACCCACCTCCCAACGACAAGCTGCCCCCCGGCTCGGTGCCACCCCCTCCAGGCCCCCTGCCCCCTCCAGCCCCCCCAGTGTCACCCCTCGCGCCCAGCCCCCCCTGCCCCCCTCCCCAGCCCCCCAGTTGTCCACCCCCTCCCAGCCGTAGTGCGGCCCCGCTCCCGGCTCCGCCTGCGCGCCCCCCTCCAGCCCCCCCCTGGTGCCACCCCCCTCCGCCTCCCTGGCCCACCCCTCCCAGGGGAGCCCCGCCTCCCAGCCCCCCCCCCATGCTCCCGCCCTTGCCCGCCTCCCCGCACCCCGGCAGGCCTGGCGTGCCACGTTTGGCCCGGCGAGGAAGGAATCCTGGGGTGGGGGGGGGTGGGGCGCATCGCCCCAGCGACAAAGCTTTTTTGACCCTGGCACTGGCGACTGTTCCCCATAGCTGCGTCTCCCCTTTCAGCGTTACGCACTTCCTCCCTCTCACCGCTCCATGGCCTGTGCACGTCAATCCATCTCGCCGACAAGAAGATGCGGCTGACAGCCCCCTTGAGAAGCGCCTCTTGGCCGCCCCGCATAGTAGGAGACCTAAAAAGCAGGAGCGTATGAGGAACTCTCCAGCACGGCTTTGGATTCTGGCTGGACATCGGTCGCCGCTGAAAGGCTCAGGGTCACGGCGTTAAAGGGCCCATTAGTGCCCAGCGGAGACGCGCTCTCCCCGGCCGGGGCGAGGCAGGGGCTTGCCTGCCCGCGGACCTCGCTGGCCCCTCGTTGGCTGTGCCGAGGCCCCGGTGTGTTTTCGGTTCCCGTCGCGCTGTAAATTGGACAATCTTAACGGGCTGCTTGCCCAGAGTGTTTGTAGGAGTAAAATGACGTTAAAATAGGCTTTTCTTTTTTTGAGTACATGTCTCATTCTGGTTGCCCGAGCTAGAGTGCCGCTGGCGTCAGCGCTCGCTCACGCAACCTCAAACTCCTGACCTCAAGGCGATCCTGCCTGCCTCGCGCCCTCTCAGCGAGCGGCTGGGGCTTTAGAGGCGGTGAGCCACGGTGCGCCCGCCTCCATGCAGAAGGTTCTTCACATGATCTGATACTCAAGGACCACTGAAGAAAGAGAAGGTAGCCGAAGCAGAGGTGACTCAATCGGCGGCGCAAGTAATGTTGTTTTGCATTAGAAAGACGGTGTCAAACCAGAGCAGAGGCGATGGTGGGTGCGGCTGGCCCAAGAGCAATTCTGAAAGCATTGCTACTCGCCCCTTCAAGGTTTACTCATAGCATTTTGTTTTGTTCTTATGCCTCTACAAAGCACCATCTGATAGAACTTTCTTAGCTGGTTCTATTTTTTTTTTTTTTTTGGACGACAGAGTCTCAACTTTGTTGCCCCAGCGCTAGGTGTGAAGTGCCGGGCATCAGCTAGCCTCACAGCAACCTCCAGACTCTGGCGTCAGCGATCCTTCCTGCCTCGCCTCCCAGCAGTGCTAGTTACAAGCGTGAGCCACCGCGCCTGGCTAAATAGGCTTAAAAAAAGAGCCCAGGCCGGCACGGGGTGGCCTCAGGCCTGCTCCTAGCACTCTGGCAGGCTGAGGCGGGCGATTGCTCCGGAGGTCAGGAGTTCGAAAACCAGCCTGAGAAGGAGCCGAGACCCCATCTATGCCCTATAAATAGAAGAACTTAATTGCAACTGTATATATAGAACAAGAATGAGCCGGGCATGGGTGCGCATCCGTATCAGCTACTCAGGAGGAGAGCAAGGAGGCATCACTGAGCCAGGGGGGGCGCGGGCGGCAGGGCAGGGGCCGTGGCTCGGGTGGTGGGTGTTGGAGGTTGCTGTGAGCTGCGTGGACACCACGGCACCGACTCCAGCCTGGGCAACAATGTAACTCTGTCTCAAAAAAAAAAAAGCTCATGAACCACAACAAGCAAGATCCCCGCCTCTCCAAAAAATTAAAAAGCCAGTCATAGTGCGTGGTGTAGGCTGTAGGTCCCAGCTACTCCGGGAGGCTGACGCAGGAGATCGCTGAGCCAGAGTGGAGGCCCTGCGAGCTGAGCCTATAGTGATGCTCACTGCAACCAGCCCAGGCCAGACAGAGCCGAGACCCTGTCTCAAAACAAACAAACACGCACACACACTCTGGACCCGGCCCCGGGTGCGCAGATAAAAGTACGTTAGTCTCGCCCGTGCGCCCCCGCGCGTCGCCGAATAAGAGCATTTAAAAAAATTATTAGGGCGCTCAAGAGGCAAGCGAGTCACGTGATTTATTCGGAAAGGAAACACCTCTCCCGTCACATGGTCCCTGGTGATCAACGCAGGGCCCACAAGCCCCTGAGATGTGTTTCTCATGAGAGCAAGCTCTGTACCAGGAAGGCCAGGAGGGTCACTTCCCTGTGCCCTAACGTTTCTGTTCTTCGTGCGTGCGTTATTTTATTTTTATTCATTTTTTTTTAGACACAGGGTGTTGCGCTGTCGCCCAGACTGGAGTGCAGTGACGCAATCACAGGTCTCTGCAGCCTCGAGCTCCTGGGCTCAAGCGATCCTCCCATCTCAGCCTCCCGAGTAGCTGGGACTGCAGGTGTGTGTGTGCCACCCCACCCGGCTAATTTTTAAATTTTATTTAGAGATGGGGTCTTGCTATGTTGGCCAGGACAGTCTCAAACTCCTGGGCTCAAGCGATCCTCCTGCCTCAGCCTCCCAAAATTGTGGGATTAAAGGTGTGAGCCGCCAAGCCTGGGCCCCCACTCCTCCTTGGATGCCAACCTCTCTGTTCCTCAGTTGCCCTCCTGGTCTAAAACAAAGGAGGGGGAAGAAAGTACTGTCAGCCAAGAGAGACGCTGGCATTGGAGGCTCAGGCGAGCCAACGCTTTGGGCACAGGTTGAGCCCGAACACGGGAGCCCGGGGCTATTTCTGACGTGGCCTCGGTCCAACCCGCCCCTGCCCCCACCCCACCCAGTGCCCGGAGCAGAACAGGGCAGGCCCCGGGGCCTGACTCCCGCCTCTCTGGCCCCGCCTTCCCTCCCAGGACTGTTTGTCAGACTTTCAAACAACGGGCAGAGGATTTGGAGGCAGGTCGCACTGTCGCTGAGCCGGTTCCTCTGCGTGTGCGCGCGCGCGTGTGTGTGTGTGTGTGTGTGTGTGCGCGCGTGTGCGTGTGTGTGTGTGTGTGTGTGCACGTTCGTGTGGGTGTGTGCAGCGCCCCTGGGTCTGTGTTTTTACTGCGCTTTCCTGTTGGCTTCCAGTTGCCCCGCCAGTTCCGGGGAGGGCCCAGGGCCAGCAGCCGTCCACCCCCCTTCATAAAGGCCCAGCCCGGGGACAGCCCGCACAGCTGCCCAGCCGGGGAGACGGGGCCGCCCTGTCCCTCCCCTCCGTCCCCTGCTCCTGCCGCAGCTGGAACCATGCCGGGCGGCGGCGGTGGCAGCCGCGTCTTTCTCGGTAAGAACTCCGGGGTCCCGCCGGGAGGGGTGAGGCCCCCGCAGCGCCCCTTGGTCCCGAGAACCGGGAGGTGCCCCTGGTGGCTCTGGGACAGGCGGCAGAAGCCACATGTCACATGGAGAGAGGGGCTGGCAGCGCCTGGGCACCCGTGCGCCCCGGAAGGAACCTCTGAGGCTGCTCCCAGGGCCTGCTCCCCTGCCCGCGCGGATCTTTACATCCCGCTCTGCAGCCAGTTTGGAGGCTGCCACCCTAAGAGGGGAAACTGAGGCACGGGGGAAGGGAAAGAAGAAAAAAGTGAGGTTGAGACTCCACAGGCAGCTGCTGTTAATACAGATCATGGAGAGGGGTGTCTGGGAACTGGTGGCTGGGACCGCTTTACTGGGGGGTACCCCCAATTTGTGCCCCAGTGTCTCAGTGGCAGGGGCAGCCCCAGAGACCCCCGTTCTTGCGGCCCTAGACAGGCCGGGCCTCAGCTGTGGGTTTTGAACTTGACTTTCCTGTGACTTCCCCCAAGCCTTTCCCGCCGCGCCCAGGGTGGCTCTTCCCCTTCTTTCTCCACCCCGAACGGTGTATCATTCGGCGGCAGCGCGTTGCCCCCAGCAACGGGCAACACACAGAGTGAAGAAATGACATTTGGGGGAAGCCGCCAGGGCCACGGTTCCCCTGTGCGGCCGGTGGCAGGTGTCAGCTCAGCGCCCTGGGCTCGGGAAGTGAGGACAGGAGGCACCGCGTGGCCACCTGTGGGGCAGCTTCCTGCGTGGTTCCAGGCCCCCGCGTGGTGTGTCACGGTCGAGTCGCCCCTGAACCTCCTTCCCTCACCTGGACGGCGGCGGGATCCGTAGCCTCCTGCTCGAGGCCGGGTGAGGCTGAGAGAGGTGAGCACGCACCCGCGTTCGCTTCGCCCATGGGGAAACAGGCTCCCTAATTGCTGTCGCATTAACGTACCGGGTGTAATGGCCCGCAGGTGGCAGTCTTGGGGTTAGCAGGTAGGCCATCGGTGACTGCCCCCGACCCCCGCCCCGGGTCCCCGAGTACTTACCACCGCCTGGGGAATTCAGGAAGCCCTTGCTTCCTCCCGGCTCTGGCTTGGGGCGTTCCAATCCCAGATGAGGCGGCACCTCTGGGCGAGGGGATGGGACACAACCACACAACGGACAGGATCCCTGCCCGGCTGGCGGCCAGCCTTCAATCCCACCTTCTCTCGCCTCCTCTGATTCCCGAATTCTTCCTGGGTCTTTTTTCTACACCACCTCCCCCCCCCCATTCCAAGCCTCAGTTTCTCTATCTGTAGAATGGGCATAAACACAGCCCCCGCCTTTAAAGGAGTTACTCAGGGCTTTGGGAGCCGGAGCCTCCAATCAACCTCCTTCGAGGGACGGTCATTTTGTCGTGTGTCCTGCAAAGAGGAGCCGATTCCTAGCAGGCAGGGAACCAGCCGAGCCCTGTAGCCAAGCAGGAGGGAGAGAGGGACCCGGCGTGAGAAAGGGGAAGGGGCGCGGCTGCTGGGAGCAGGTGCGGGCAGGCGGGTGTGTGTGTGGGTCTCTGTCCTCCCCCCGCCCCAGGGGCCAGGTCTGGACACAGGCTGAGCGGTCAGGGGACCCCTGGTCTGCAACCCCACCCCCTCCCCCCTGTGCTCACAATGACCCCAGAGTCCGACCCCAGATTTCCCCAGGGAGTCCCCGCCCGGGTCCAAGTGGGCGACTGAGTGGCGCGTCATCCCTCCCTCGGCCCAGGAAGTGACTCACAGCCAGCCGCCCTCCGGGTCCCATCCGTCCCTGCCCGACACCCACTCGGGGTCCCGGGTGTACTGGGTCCCCGCTGACTGCAGCCCTGCCCGCAACATGGCTGCTGGTGCTGTTCCCCTCCCCTTCCCGGCTCCCCCCACCCCCGGTGCCCCTTTCCCACCCTCACTTCCACTTCCTCTTCCCGCCTCGTCCCCCCCGCCTCCTGTCTCTGCCTGTCTTCTTTCGAATCCCTCTCATCTGTCTCATGTCTCTCCGTCTCTTTCTACTTTCTCTCCGCCTCTGTCTCCTTGCCCCTCTCTCTGGTGAATCCGCAAGGACGTCCCATCTCGCGCCTAGACCGAGGAGGGGCCCCCAGGACAGCCCTGGGAGGGGTGGCCATGAGCCGCAGGGGGGGGCGTTCTGCACGAACCCCCACAGGTGCCCTCGGCGGTGGGGCGGGGGAGCCCGGGGCAAAATGTCCCCACTGGGTCCCAGGCAGGACAGGACGTGCGGCTCTCGGGGCTGTGGGCTCGGGGCGGGCACCTGTGTCCCTGAGGCCGGTGCCTGGGGCGTCCGAGAGAACCTGGCCCGACCCCTCACTTCTGCCTGAAGAAAGGTGACAGTCCTTGCTGGGACGCCCAGGCAGCTGGCCCGGGGCTGGTTCCCCCGCTGCACGGGGAGCGGACGCTGTGGTCAGCCCGTTCTACAGAAGGGGAGACTGAGGCCGACAGTTGGGGCGGACGTGAGCTAGGGCCATGCAGCTCCAGGCTGTCCTCTGAGCCGCCGCCCGCACGGCCCCAGGCCGGGACAGCCGCAGCCCGAGCGAGGCCACTCGGGCTCGGGGTCCCCTCCCCACTCTCCGTGCCCGAAAACCTGCGCCGAGGCGCCACGTCACTGACCCTCCGCTGTGGGTGGTGGGACGCGCCGACCATCCCCTCGCCCTTTGAGCAGAGCATGGGCGTTGAGCCTGGGAGGGGCTGGGGCCCCTTCTCCCAGTGCGGCGCCCTCCGGCCTCCTTTCCCAGCCTCCTTTCCCGGCCTCCTTTCCTGGCCCTGGGTCCTCTCTGACGCCCTGTCCCTGTCGCAGCGCTGTGTGTCCTGCTGGCTCTGTCGGAGGCCGAAGCCCAGGACGCCGGGGGTGAGTCTGCGCCGCGGTCCGCAGCCGGGAGGGCCCCGCCCCACCTCGCACCCGGCACCCCGACCCTCCGCCCAGGAGTGACAGGCCCCATTCAAGGTTGCTCGGGCTGTCCCCCCCCACCCCACCTCCTCTAGGAACTGCATTGCCCCGCTGCCCGTTCCGATGCCATGTCCCCTTCTGAGCCCGCCCTTGCCCCCGCCCCCGTAGGCTGTGACCGCTGGTGCCCCCCGAACGCCATGTGTGCCAACACCACTGCCTGTCGCTGCAAGCCGGGATTCAGCTCCTCGGGCGCAGAGATCTTCACCGACTTCATGGTGTCCTGCGACGGTACTGCGGCTTGGGGGCGGTGCAGGGCGCTTGGGACCCGATGAGGCCCTGCCCAGCGCCAGCGGGGGCCTGGGTGGTAGTTAGGGGCCGTGACCCTTGGCCTTGGGATTGTCGTCCTGGCCAGAGGAAAGAGAAGGGAAAAATAAACGAAGGTGGAGAGGTACGGAGTGAACAGGCGTGGCTTCCCGGAGAAAGGAGTTGGTTCCCGAGGAATCGCGGGTCTGTGCCTCGGTTGGCCCGTAAGACTGGGGAGGGGAATGCTGAGCTTCCTGCCCATCCCCCACCTTGGCACCGTCCACTACATCCAAATCCAGAGAACTCGGAGCTGACTTTGTGGCCTTCAGGAATGGCTTGTTCCAGCCGTAGTGCAGCTCAGGATTCTTTCTAAAAGATACTTAGGAAGCACCAGGCTTCATGCCGGGGAGTCAGGGTGGGACGGAATCCACAGCTTTGGGAATGTGACTTTTTGCCCTGTCCTGTTTCAGACATCAACGAGTGTGCACCACCCACGAAGGTGTTCTGCGGAAAATTTGCAGACTGCCAGAACGTGGTCGGGAGCTACTACTGCACCTGCAGCCCGGGATACGCGCCCACCTCCGGGCCAAACACGTTCCGGAATGCGAGTGAGAACACGTGTGAAGGTAAGAGCCACCCCACGTCCTCCTCCTCCCCGTCCTTGAGGTTTGGGGTCGCCAGAGCCGTCCCTGCAGCACCCGAGGGGCAGAGCCCTGGCTGGGGGTTCCGTGCCTGGGGCCTGGACGGGACGGCTGTGCATGACCCGTCCCACCAGCCCAGACAGGCCAGGCGGTGTGACGGCCACACACAGACCGGGACCCGCCGCCTGGGCCAAAGCCCGGTAGCTGTGCGCACGGAGCTCGCGACACTCACTCAGAAACCACTGTGGGCGGGGGATGATGCTATCGCAATGTTGTGCTATAAAATAAAGAGTCCCTGTCTTTTAAAGATAAAAACAGGGCGGGTAGGGGAAGCGGGGGGAAAAAAAAAGGAAAAAGATAAAAACAAAAGTAGCTTTTGTTAACTGGTGTGACCTTGGACAAGTCACTTCACTTCTCTGTGCCTCGATTTGCCCATCTGTAAAAGGGGCGTAACCACAGTGCCCAACCTCACAGAGCTGCTGGAGACGTCGCTGGGGCCACCAAGGCACTGGGCGGCTGCGCCCGCAGGAAGCGCTGCGTGAGCGAGGGCGCGGGCGGTCACCGGCTGTTGTCACTCGGGACGGGCGTTCCCGGGACAGGCGGGCGGAGACCGCCGCCAGGGTCCAGTCCTGCGAGGCGGCCGCACCGGTTCAGGCCTGGGGGGCCGGCCCCCACGCGTCACAGGCTCCGCCCCTTTCCAGGGAGCCGGAAGGGAAGGGAGGGGCCTTGGGCACGCAGGGCGGTGAGAGCAGGGGCAGCCGGGAGCCACGGCTCCCCCGGGCAGAGGGAGTGGCTGCAGAGGTGGGGCGGGGAGGGGCAGAGGTGGGTGGTGGTGAAGCTGGGGCTGAGCCGGGACTCGAAGGCCGCCCGCTGGGGAGAGAGGAGGCCCGGCCGGCCCCTCCCGCCCTGTGTGCAGGCAGAGGGAGAGGGCAGGAAGCAGGGACAGGGCCACGCTGCGTGGGGACACACGCCTGCCTGGAGCGCACGGGAGGCCTGTGTCCGCCACGCCGCCGGTCCGCAGGTGGACACTGGGCGGCGCGCGCACGGCTTGGCCACAGCACAGACCCTCGTGTGAGCTGGAGAACGGCCCTCCTCTCCACGGGACACGGGTGTCTGGCAGGCCGGGGGCGGACTGGCTCTCAGCCCTGCTCGTCCCTGGAGCAGCAGCGCCCTGGCGCAGCGGGCAACCTGCACAACCGCGCGTGCCGATCACGGAGTCCTCTCAGAGCGCCCTGGCTGGGCGTCGGCACGGACAGCAGGCGTGAGGTGACAAAGAGGCCACCGCGGACCTTAAGCCGGGCGACAGGAGGGAGCAGCCGGCTGGTCCAGGCAGGACCCACCACCCGAGGCTGCAGCTTGGTGGGGGTTCGGGGGATCTGTCTGCGCCCTCCCCCCACACCCCAGCACTCCGGGCTCTGCGGCACCGGGGGACACGCCCGGCCAGCGTCACAGCCCGCCGGCCGATGACACGCAGCGACCTGGGGCCGCCCCTCGCCCCACTCTCTCCAGGCCTCAGAGGGCCATGTGGACACCTGGACACCTGTCTGAACCCCGAGGCTCAGACCCTCCACGCGGGGACCCTTCTGGGGGCTCAGAGCGGCCCCTGCCCGCCTGGCCCCTACGACACCCGGGACCTTTCACAAGCTCAGGACGCGGCATGTTCCGGCGCTGCGTCTGTCCTTCCCGCCATCACCAGCGACACCGGGATGAGACCTGCCCCACCAGGGCCCACACGCTTGGCCACGCCTGGACCCCCTCTGGCCACCCTGGCCATGACGGACCGGGGGAGGACCCCGTCTGGAAACCCGGGAGGACAGAGACCCGAGGGGAGGCCGTGGTCCCAGCCTGGAGAAGATGCCACCTGGCGTCCTGACCGCCTGCTCCGCACCCGCCTCCACCGCGTCCCCACCCAAGGCGCTGCGTGCCGGCTGCCGAGCTGGTCCGTGTCCTCCACGGCCGCTGACAGCTCTGACGACCGGGGCTTGGGAGGGTGCGGTGGCCGGGCGGGGTGGGGCCGGGTGGCATGGCCCCCACACCGGAGAGGTGGGTGCCGAAGAGCCTCCAGTTTGGCCCGGACAGCAAGAGGGGTCGTCGCCAAGGGCCCCTGCCCCGGCCGGACGCTGTCCCCACGGGCCTGGCTCAGGGTCGCGCCTTGGGCCGTCTCCGAGGGGCTGGGCTCTCAGAGCGGCGTGGGCGGCACAGCGCTGTCCTGCGGCCACCGGGAGGACCTGGCCAGCGAACAGCCACCCTGGGGACGTCAGCCAAGGGACGCCACTGAGGGCCAGCACGGGCCCTGCTCCGGGAAGCAGCCTTTCCCCGCGCTCGGCTCCCAGGACGCTGCTCCGAGTCGAGGGCCGGTCGGGGAGGCGCGACGCCCCCAGTGGGGCTGCCCAGGCAGGCGGGAGCCGGGGAGGACCCGGCCGCCTCCCGCCACATCTGGACAGCAGAGGGCTGGGCCACCCAGCTTGCCATGGGACGCCTCGGTGTGAGTCGGAAAAGGGAGGCGACGTGGTGCCTTCCGGATGCTTCTGAGCCAGGGGACGTGGCCGGACCCGGCGCCAAAGGCCGTCCACAGCCGGGGCGTCATTCCCGCCCTTCCTCTTGCAGACGTGGACGAATGTCAGCAGAGCCCCAGAGTCTGCGGAAGCCGCGGCGTCTGCCGCAACACCCTGGGCAGCCACGCCTGCCACTGCCCGCCCGGCTTTGCGCTCCAGCCCCGGGACCCAAAGCTCTGCGCAGGTAGAGGCCCGGGAAGAGGCCGCCAGGCCGGAGCCGGCGGGTCCCGCAGCCCAGGAGGAGGGGAAGACGAGCACGCTCTCCCAGGGTCACGGGCGCCCAGGGAGTCGCCTCCCAGGAAGGTCCCCACGGGGCAGGGAGGGGCAGGGCCTCTGGGCCTGGAGTCCCCTTGTGGAGCCCGCAGACCTCACCCCTGCCTCATGCTTCTCGGGCGAGTGGAAGAAGGCGTCACCTCGGTTCTGAGGAGGGGAACCACGGCCATGGTCAGGGAGGGAGCAGTCGAGAGCCCTTGGTCAGGAAGTCCAGCCCTCGTGACTGAGTTTCCCCCCCCCAGTTTTACCTAAAAACTGGGCACCATGGTCCCTGCTGTGCCCATCTTGCAGGGAGGCCACCATACGCTGCTTTGAAGGGGAAGCTGAAGGTCACCAGGTGGCGGCACCTGCACTGACGGCCCTGGGTCTGGGCGTGGAGAGATGGGGAGGGGCGCACTGAGGGAGGGCAGGCCCCCGCCGGCCAGGGGCAGGCTCTGACCTCCGGCTTTGTCCTCAGACGTGGACGAATGCGCTTTGGGACAGCACCAGTGCCACAACTCCACCCACTGCCTCAACAAAGTGGGCGGCTACGAGTGCCGGTGCCGCCCGGGCTGGAGGCCGGTTCCCGGGTCCCCCGACGGCCCGACTGACACCGTCTGCGCAGGTGTGCGGCCTGACCCCGCGGCGCAGCCCGGCGCCCGCCGGCACACGCATGGGCACCGCACACCCGGCTCCATGCCAGCCACCTTTCGTTCTTTGGAGACTTGATGTGAAAAGATCTGGGGTCCCGGGGGAGGGGCTGGTGCTGGCTTGGAGGTCAGGGGTCACGGGTGGCAGCGGATGAACTGGGAGGTGACGTTTCAGCGTGTGCACGGGCTCAGGCCTCTCCGTGCCCGGTGACCCAGCGTCCCCACTCCCAGGGGCCCCGACAGCGGGAGGAGCGAGGAGGGTGTGGACAAGAGCGGGGACCCTCGGCCGGGCGCGGTGGCTCACGCCTGTGATCCTAGCACTTTGGGAGGCTGAGGCGGGAGGATCGCTCGAGGTCAGGAGTTCAAAACCAGCCTGAGCAAGAGCAAGACTCCGTCTCTACTCTAAATAGAAAGAAATTAATTGGCCAACTAATATATAGAGAAAAAAATGAGCCCAGCATGATGGCGCATGCCTGTAGTCCCAGCTACTCGGGAGGCTGAGGCAGGAGGATCGCTTGAGCCCAGGAGTTTGAGGTTGCTGTGAGCGACGGCTAGCAGACGCCACGCACCCACTCTAGCCTGGCAACAAATCGAGACTCTGTCTCAAAAAAAAAAAAAAGAAAAGACAGGCAGACCTCTGGGGGGCTGGGAACCAGGGCCTGACGCCGCTTCTCCGGGTCCGCACGACGTGGACGAGTGCAGCTCCGCGAGCACCGCACCGCTGCGCACGCGTCGACTTTTGTGTCAACGCCGTGGGGTCGTACAGGGCCGCTGCCGGCCCAAGGCTGGAGGCCCATAGCCGGGGTCCCGCAACAACCAAATATCACAGGTCTGCCAAGGTAGATTCTAGAGAGACCAGACCAGCGAACCTCCCCCCAAACACGGCGACACTCGCAGCCTGACGACCGCTTAGTCCGCAGAGGCCACTTTTAACACACTTTGAACGAGAGAGAGCCCAGCGCATGTCCGCAGCCAGCGTGAGCGCCCAGCAGGGACGGGGGTGGGGGCAGGTGCCCCTGTGCAGAGCGTCCGCCCCGCCCCGAGCGTCCCCTTGCCCTCCTGACGTCCTGGCGTCTCCCAGACTACATATTATATATTATATATATATATACCGACTTCTTTTCAACGACAAGACCAGGATCTCGGTAAAGCCTTCAACACGACCAGAGTCGGCCCAAGGCACCACCGCAGTCAGGGCCTGGGGAGCCCCAGGACAGCGGTGGAGGGGTGCTGAAGGGGCGCCTTCAGTGCAGCTGGAGACAGTGCCCAGCCAGTGCTGGGGCCTCTGGCCAGAGACACACGTGCACACGCACACACACACACACACACAGCACACACACACACACACAACGGGGCGCAAGGACGCCCTTTACGCCCCACCGACACCGCGCTGCATCAGCGCACCACGCACACGCACACGCACAAGGGTGTAATGGCAACAGAGTGGAGCAATGAAAAACCTGGAGTCGGGGCCACAAGAGCTTACTGTGTGACCTCAGGCAAGTGACCTCCCCTCTCTGGGCCTCAGTTTCCCCATCTGTTACACAGGCCTGAAAATGCTGCCTGCTATAGTCGTTGTGAAGTTCAAATAAACTCACAGTAGGAAGACGCAAAGAACAGTGCCCGGAAGAGTAAGCCTCATATAGTCTTCACCTGCGTGCCTAGCCCCGTAGAAAAATAACGTGAGCCACTTAACATCATTTTAACTTTTTCACTAGCTGCATTTTTAAAAGGTAAAAATAAGCAAGTGAAACCCAATGTTAACATTTTATTCAGGCCGGCATAGTGGCTCATGCCTGTAATCCCAGCACTTTGGGTGGCTGAGGCGGGAGGATCACTTGAGGCCTGGAGTTCAAGATCAGCCTGGGCAACATAGTAAGACCCTATCTCTATAAAAAAATAAAAAATTTAAAATTAGCCAGGCCTGGTGGCACATACCTGTAGTTCCAGCTAGTAGGGAGGCTGAGGCAGGAGGATCGCTTGAGCCCGGGAGTTTGAGGCTGCTTTGAGCCATGATGACGTCACTGCATTCCAGCCCAGGTGACAGAGCCAGACCCTGTCTCTCTTTTAAACATAAAAAAAAAGAAAGAAAAAAGAATAAATAAGATTGTCTTTAACCCAATAGATCCAAAGTATTAACCATTCATTCCAACATGGAATGATTAAAAAAAAAAAAAGAAATCTGAGATAGTTTGATAGTTTGCAGTCTTTCTGTTGAATTAAGCCTTTGAAATCTGACGTGCATTTCAGACTTCAGAGCTGCCTCGGCTGGGCGCCAAGGGCCCGGCCGGACAGCGACAAATCCGAGCAGAGCCCACGGGCACCTGTGCCCAGTCAGGACCGGGCCAGAGCCCCACCGTTGGGACACTCGATCTCTGTGCTTGTTTTCTGGCCACTGCGTCATCTCAATGATTCCCTGGTGCCTGTGGTTCTCAAATGTGTCCTCCGGTGGGGGGTGAGACCCGGGTCCTCCAGGCAGCCCGTGTGGTCCAACGACCCGGTGGCTTTGTCACCCCACCCCCACCCCCAGAACCTCATCGCGCTGGTGGACGAGCTGCTGAGAGCCCGTGGGGACATGGACCACCTGGCCCCTCCCATGCGGCACCGCATAGCCACCTACCTGCTCTCGGGCCTGGAAGACCTCCTGAGGGCGCTGGCCAAGACCCTGCCGGAAGAGCCCCTCACCTACTGGTCCCCCTCGGGCACAGGTGAGGCCTCACCCTATCCCAGCCCCGGTCCCCCGCCCCCGCCTGTGTCCAGTGGCCCCAATTTCTGCCCTTCTCCCTTCAGAGCTGTCCTTGGTCATCCAGGAGCAGGGGAACAAGAATGTCACCATGGGTCAGAGCCAGGCACGGATGCTGCTGAACTGGGCTGTAGCGGCGGGAGCCGGGGACTCGGGTAACAGCAGCGGCCCCCAGCGGGGTGTGGGTGGGAGCGTGGGGGAAGGGAGCAGCGGGGGATGGGGCCAGGGCAAGGTTCAGATTATGGGACATCGGGACATCGGGAGGGATTCCAGGCAGCCTGGCAGGTTGGCCGAGCCTGAACCGGGACATCTTGGGAGGGAGGGAGGGCTGGCGGAGGTAGCAAGTGTGTCTGTCCCCAGGCCCCGCCGTGGCAGGCGTCTTCTCCAGCCAGAACATGAAGAAGCTGCTGGCCAACGCCTCCCTGGACCTGGAGCCCGAGAAGCAAGCCCGGCTGGAAGAGACCCATGAAAGCCCCGTCCACGGCGCCCAGGTCAGGATCCTGTCGGCCGTGAACTCTGTCTTCCTGAGCAACACGGACACGGAGAAACTGGCCTCTCCCATCACTTTCGCCTTCTCCCACAAGGTGCGTCCTCAGGTGGGGAGGGGGATCCACATGCCTGCTCACCCCAGCGCCACACTCGCCACTTCCCCACCTCCGCCCACACTCTGCCCCTTCCTCAAACACGCCTCAGGGCCTTTGCACCTGCTGTGTGCGCCCTTGCCTGGGCTGCTCTTCCCCAGCATGACCCGGTCCTTTATCTGCCTCCAGCCTTCTCATTTGGGCCTTCCCTGACTCTCTGTAAAATGACAACCTGGGCCGGGAGCGGTGGCTCACACCTGTAATCACAGCAGTTTGGGAGGCCGAGGTGGGAGGATCACTTGAGGCCGGGGGTTTGAGATCGGCCAGGGCAACATAGCAAGACCCCATCTCTACACTGCACAAGTAGACTACACTAGCAGGTGTGGTGGCACATGCCTGTAGTCCCAGCTACTTGGGAGGCTGAGGCAGGAGGATCTCTTGAGCCCAGGAGTTGGAGGCTGCAATGAGCTATGATGACGCCACTGCACCCCAGCCTGGGTGACAGAGTAATATCCTGTCTCTAAAAAGATACAGCCTGTACTCACTCCCCACCTTTCACCTGTACCCTTTCATCTTTTTAACAGTCCCCATGGCAACTACTACCTTCTAACACACTCTCTAGGTTACTTGTTTATTAGCTTTATGATTTATTTTACCCCCCACACCTGACATGCATGTCAGCCCCTCAAGCGCAGGGACTTGTGTCTGCCCCTGTAAACTGCTGTGTCCCCAAACCTGCTGTCTACACCAGGCGCTCAGTAAATACTCGCCCAGTGAAAAGCAGCCCTCCTCGGGCTCAGCCCACGCCCAGGCCCCAAGAGTGGGCTCCGGCCAACCTCTCTGACCACCCCCACCCACCCGCAGGACGAGAGGCCCAGGACTCGGGAGGAGCTCATCTGTGCCTTCTGGAAGGGTGACAGCCACAGCGGGCGCTGGGCCACCACAGGCTGCCGGGTGTTGGGCAGCGGGAATGGCAGCACCACCTGCCAGTGCAGCCACCTGAGCAGCTTCGCCATCCTCATGGCGCACTACGACGTGCAGGTGAGCAGCCGGGGCCGTGCCCGGCAGCCCACAGGGGGCCAGTTCTGCTTAGGTGGCCAGACGGCCAGCTGGCTCTCCAAGGTGTGGCCCAGCCGGTTTCTCAGATGTGTCTGTGGGGTTGCACAGCACGGATGGCCCAAGCCCCTTCTCTGAGACCCAGCAACTAAACGGCGAGGCCTGGCACTGCAGGCCCTACTGCGGCCGGCGCCCCTCCTCCTGCCTGCGCCACACCTGTTGCAAAATAGCTCTAAAAGCTCCCCGTGTAGGACTTTCCAAGGGAGCACGACTTTCTGTATGTAGCTTCAGTAGGATCCGTAGATAAGCTGGGCCATGTTGGATAACTGGAATTAGCCAGGCAGAGTAAGGGAGGCCAAAGGCCCGGCAGGCACCAAATTGTGAGATCCTGGCCAGGTGCAGTGGCTCACATCTGTAATCCTAGCGCTTTGGGAGGCTGAGTCGGAATGATCGCTTGAGACCCGGAGCTCAGTTGGAGTCGAGCCAGAGCAAGAGTGAGACCCCATCTCTACAAAAACAAAATAAAAATTAGCTGGACGTGGTGGCACGTGCCTGCAGTCCCAGCTACTCGGGGGGCTGAGGCAGGAGGATCACTTAAGCCCAGGAGTTTGAGGTTACAGTGAGCTGTGATTGCACCACTGCACTCCAGCCTGGGGACAGAGTGAAACCCTGCCTCAAAAAAAAAAAAATAACGAAAAATGTGAGGTCCTTATCCCATATCTGCCAGCTGACAGGTGTAGTCAGGTGTGTGTGGGGGAAGGGAGGAGGTCAGAGAAGTGGGCCGCCCGTGTTGCGGGACCACAAGGAGGGCAGGAAGGCCTCAGGGTCCTCACCGAACCCTGCCCACGGCATCCTGCCCCTAGGACTGGAAGCTGGCCCTGATCACCAAGGTGGGACTGGCGCTGTCGCTGGTCTGTTTGCTGCTGTGCATTTTCACCTTCCTGCTGGTGCGGCCCATCCAGGGCTCGCGCACCACCATACACCTGCACCTGTGCATCTGCCTCTTCGTGGGCTCCGCCATCTTCCTGGCCGGCATCGAGAACCAAGGTGACGAGGTAAGGCCCGCCCCGCCCTCACCTGAGCGCCAAGTCGGCGAGGCCCCGGAGGAGGCTAGCCCCGCCCACTTCCGGGGCTCGGCCAGAGAGGCGGGCCCTGGAGGCACGTAGCCCCGCCCCTGCCCGGGATCTGGCCCCGCCCACCGGGGGTGGTGTGCCTCTTTAAGGGGCGCCGGCTTTGGAGGTGCATGGCCACGCCCCGACCCCACGCTCAGGCCCGCTCAGGGCGTGGTGGGGCGGGCCCTGGAAGAGCCTGGCTCCGCCCCGGCCCCGCCCACCTCCAGGCCCCGCCCACCCCGGGGACTCTGGCAGACGACTGGCTCCGGCGGTGCGTGCCCCGCCCCGCGCTGACGTCGCCCCGCCCCTCCGCCCCCGCTCCGCAGGTGGGGCTGCGCTGCCGCCTGGTGGCCGGACTGCTGCACTACTGCTTCCTGGCCGCCTTCTGCTGGATGAGCCTCGAAGGCCTGGAGCTCTACTTCCTCGTGGTGCGCGTGTTCCAGGGCCAGGGCCTCCGCACGCGCTGGCTCTGCCTGATCGGCTACGGCGTGCCCCTGCTCATCGTCGCCATCTCCGCGGCCTCCTATAGCGAGGGCTACGGCCGCACCAGCTTGTGAGTGCGGCGCGCGGGGAGGGCCGGGGGCCAGGCCCGGGGCACGCGGGCAGCGCCCCACACGTTTCCTCGCTGCTGGCTCCGTTCTGGGCCTCCTCCGGCGCTGACGGGACCTCTCCCTTCCCTCCCAGCTGCTGGCTGTCCTTTAACCGTGGCTTCCTCTGGAGCTTCCTGGGACCCGTGATCTTCATCATTTTGGTAAGTGCCCACCCCCTACCCAAAGCCCGCGCGGCACTGAGCCCCGCTAGACCATCTCTCCTGCCCTCTAACCCACCGTCTATGCTCCCCGCCCAGTGCAATGCTGTCATCTTCGTGACTACTGTCTGGAAGCTCGCTCAGAAGTTTTCTGAAATCAGTCCGGACATGAAGAAGTTAAAGAAGGCCAGGTGAGAAGAGGGGCAGAAAGGGAGGACTTGTAGGTGGTGCTGGCCTCGAAGTGGGCCCCCAGCTGCAACTGCCTTCCCTGCAGGGTGCTGACCATCACCGCCATCGCCCAGCTCTTCGTCTTGGGCTGCACCTGGGTCTTCGGCCTGTTCCTCTTCAACCCACACAACTGGGTGCTGTCCTACCTCTTCAGCGTCCTCAACTGCCTGCAGGGCTTCTTCCTGTACTTGCTGCACTGCCTCCTCAACCGGAAGGTGGGGCCTCCCGCGGGGTAGGGGGTGGGGGGGAGCCTGCTCCTTCCCTGACCCGCCACTCCCCCCATGCAGGTGCGGGAAGAGTACCGGAAGTGGGCCTGCCTAATTGCTGGGAACAAGTACTCTGAGTTCGCCTCTTCCACAACTAACACAAGCCACAATCAGATGACTCGGGTAAGGGGCTGGGCCTAGCACGGGGAGTGTCAAGAAGGCACCCTGGCTGTGCTCAGGCCTCACGGGGCTCCTTTTTCTCCAGGCCCTCAGGCCGTCAGAGTCTGGCATGTGAGCCCAGCATGGGAACCCGAAGTTTTGGCCATCCCAGCAGCTCCTGTGGCCTCAGCAGCTTCTGCACATGCTGAAGACCGTCCTCTCCTCTCCTCCCACTCTGCGCTCTCCACTGTGTGCCAGAGACAGGGTGGCAGCTGTACTCTGGCACTGAACTCCAGAACACCCAAGGAGGTGGAAAGTCGGAGCCGATGGTCCTGCTTCCTTCCGGCTGCTTGCCCTAACCCAGCTGTGCCCCAGGGCGGGACAGGTGCTGACCCAGGGCTGCAGCCCATCGCCCCAGTACGTGCAGCCAGTACTGGGGACGGACTGAGGGCTCTTGCCCGGCCTGGCCTTTTCCTCTCATCTGTCTTTGCTGCAGAACAGGCCAGGGCACTGGGGTTCAACTCCCCTCTTTAAGCTAAGACTGATGTCAGAGGCCAGGGCAGGGCCCCTGCCTGAGGCTCACGGTACAGAGCCTGCCTGCCCCGGGCAGCAGGTCTCAGTCTCAAAGGTTGTGCATGTCGTGTACATTTTCATCTGTATGAATCTTTCAATGTTCACACTTAAAATTAAATAACACATGCATAAAGAAGGTGGCCTTGCTTGCTGGTGGGGGTTCGCTGGCCAGGCTTGTGGTGCTCATGAAACGCCGACAGACAACCAAGAAACAGATGGGATGGGAGCCAGGCTTCCATAATACATATTTATTCTTACACAAATCTACAGCTTTTGAACAAAAAAAAGAAAGGGACCCATCTGGCGCCTAGAAAGAAGACATGAAGCAACACGTGGGCGGCTGTAGGCCGTCGAGGCATGTGGTTACCGGCTCTGTTCAACTGCAAGACAAATGGGGGAGGCCAGTGAGTGAGGGGGCACGGCCCGGGAGGGGCCCCTCTTTCCCAGACCCCAGACTCCACCCTGCCCAAGCCACTTACTGTATGTGGAAATGTCAATTTCCTCTGGAAGTTCTGCCACATTCACTTCAAACCGGTCCTGGACGTCATTGAGGATTTTGGCATCATTCTCGTCAGACACAAAAGTGATGGCCAGGCCTTTGGTGCCAAAGCGACCTGCACGGGCCACCTGCAGGAAGATGGGATCAGGGTCAGCCCAGATACCACCCCAGGACTTGAAGGAAAAGCTGCCTGGGGGCCACCACACTGCCATCCCAGGGAGGCCGGGGGACACTCACCCGGTGCAGGTAGGTGTCTGAGTCCTCGGGCATATCATAGTTGAAGACGATGTTGACTCGCTCAATATCCATTCCCCGGCCAAACAGATTGGTGGCCACCAGGATCCGCCGCTGGAAATCCTTGAACTGCTGATAGCGTGACAGGCTGGGTGCAGGAGAAACAAGTGGAGGCCATCAGATACTGGGTTCCTGGGTGGCGCTCCCTGCGGCCTTCGCGGGCGGCGTGCACTCACCGCTCCTCCTGGGCCATGCCGCGGTGGATGGCGATGGCCGGGAAGTTCTGCTCCACGAGGAGCTGGGCCAGGGCCATGCAGCGCTGCACTGACTTGACGAAGATGACCACCTAGAGGGAGGAGTGGCGGTCAGGGCCAAAGGCCCACCAGCCTCCCCAGGGCCCAGAACCCTGCGACAGGCCAACGGAGGCATCACCTGGTTAAACTCTAGCACGTCCAGAAGATCAAAGAGCTTGCGGTTCTTCTCGCTGTCCTTGAGCTTGACGTAGTACTGCTGCAGCCCGTGCAGCGTGAGCTTGGTCTCGTCGTCCACAAACACCTCCATGGGCTGTGTGGGGAGGGAGGCGGGGAGGGGCGAGCAGGACTCACTCTCGGGCATCTCGGCTGCCCAGAACCTTCCAGTGAGGATTCCTCTGTGCGATGCATCCCAGAGCGCCTGCCGCACCCAACCTCAGTAAGGATCTTACGACCAAAAGCTGGAGGTCAGCTCTGGTCTGGCTCAGGTGTGGACCAAGCTTGACTCCCAGTTTGACAAGACTGAGAGGGAGGGAGGGAGGAGGCTCGGCCAGCCTCCCAGCATCCTTTGTGCTGTGTGCATGGCGTGGGAGTCCTGGGGCGGCCAAGCCCCTGGGGAGGGCCAAAGCTGCTGCGCTGAGGTCTCGGCCACTGTGGGTGGGCCGGGGTCTTGCCCTACTCACATCCTGCATGAACTTCCGGCAGACGGGGCGGATCTCCTTGCTCAGGGTGGCGCTGAACATCATGCACTGCTTCTCATGGGGCGTCAGGCGGAAGATCTCCTGCACGTCCCGCCGCATGTCTGGGTGGGGAGGGCAAGAAACAGGTGGGCATGAGCATCTGCCGGACCACGGCCCCCACCCCAGACCAGACCCAGACCGCTCCCGACCTGTGCCAGGGAGCCAGTGGCGCCATGATGAGGGAGTGGAGGGAGGGGCGAGTCCCGGGTGCCTGAGGGGCTGGACTCGGGGGCAAGCCGGCGCAGGCGCAGGAGGAGCTGAATCCACTTACACGCTGCCAGCGCTGAGCAGCCGTGCCATGCGCCTCGAGCCGCACTTCAGGGAGGGGAGCCTGAGGCAGAGATAGCCGCTGGGGTGAGAGCTGTAGCTGCCTCCCAGGACAAAGCCCATCTCCCACCGGCCCTGCCGGGGCGCACCGAGGGCAGCCAGGGGCCTCTAACTAACCCACAGGCAGTGGAAGTCATGATACTCCTGCAGGTGTGTGCGTGTATGCCTGTGGTCCAGGCAGGGACACCAGCTCACGTGGGCCCTGTGGTCCCATTCAGTTGGGCTCAGGAGCAGCACGTCCCGCTCTGCTAACACTAGAAGGTTCCCTAAGATCACTTACAGGAGACCTATGTGCCGGCCACCCACGAGACCCGCTCTGGGAGCCTTTGGCCTGCTCAGTGGGGGCCCACCTCGACGCTGGCTCTGCTGTAGGGGCCGCGCGGGGAGGGCAGGGTTGCTGGGCGGGCCTGGGCAGCCCCGCAGGCCCAGCAGGGACACTCACCCAGCTGCTCCAGCATCTTGTCACACTCGTCCAGCACAAAGTGCTTCACATTCTTCAGGTTGAGGCTCCTGTTCCGCACAAGTGCCAGGATCCGGCCTGGAGTCCCCACCACGACATGGGGACAGTTCTTCTTTAATACCTCTTCATCCTTCTTAATGGAGAGGCCACCGAAGAACACAGACACCTACGGGGATTGGGAGAAGTTGCTTCCAGCTGTCTGGGAGCTGCACACTCGCACCCTACTCTCTACTGCTGCCCAGCCCACAGGCCCCGCAGCCCCCCAAGGGTGCCCAATCGCCAGTCCTGGCACCTCAGAACAGGAGGCCTTAGGGACAGAGGCAGGCCTGAGAGCCTGCTGTGGCGTCAGTGAAAGGCAGCCGCAGCCTGGGACCGGTGCAGGCCCCTGGGAGCCATGCATAATTCATTAGGCTTTTAAGGAGCATAAACCACCGCAAACCTCAAAGGCAGCGGCTGCCGCCAAACTTGGTAAATGCTGGACGGGGCCAGAGCCAAGGCCGGAGAGGCTGCAGGAGACCACACAGCGCCCAACCCGGCCGCGTCTCAGGGGTCTCACCTTGACACTGGGCATGTACTTGGAGAAGCGCTCATACTCCTTGCTGATCTGGAAGGCCAGCTCCCTTGTGTGGCACATGACCAGGACTGTCACCTGTGCAGTGGCAGAACAGAGGTCCTTAAGGCACTGTCCTAAACCCTCCCTGGCCAGAGCTCACAGTGGCACTCCCTTCCTCTGCAGGCCCACACCCAACCAGTCCCCTCCCACAAGAGCAACCACCACACTGCTCCCCACACCACGGGCCATTTGAAAACCTGGCCCAAATCCCTGCCCCTCGCTCCCTCCACCCTCTCACAGCTACCGAGGCCACGTCTCCTGACACCAGGGCCTACAGTGAGGCCAGGAACAGAAAATGGCTAGGGTTAGACCCAGCCGGACCCAGTGAGCTGGGCCCCAGGCTAACGGCTTCCTGAGTCTCCACTCCTGGGCTGTCCCTGCACTCCCGCCCACAACACCAAACATTATGACCACAGCACAGCCTTCCACAAAGTCATCGTCCTTCACAATTCGCCCTAAGAAAACCAAGGCACATGCACCAACAAGGCTGTGCACCTTAGTGTGATTCTTAAAAGCAAATGGAATTCACCTAAGTTGTTCTCCGAGAATGGAACAAACGATGACAACAAAGAGATGGCCAGAGACCATTAGTAACAGCAGTGACAAGGGTATTCAGTGTGACTCTACCCTTCGTAGACATACACATCTAAGAAGTACAAACTGAAATGATGGCACTATTTCCAGGAACCATGGGCACTATTTTTAAAAAAGCTTATGAGGCCGGGCGCGGTGGCTCACGCCTGTAATCCTAGCACTCTGGGAGGCCGAGGCAGGTGGATTGCTCAAGGTCAGGAGTTGGAAACCAACCTGAGCAAGAGCGAGACCCCGTCTCTACTATAAATAGAAAGAAATTAATTGGCCAACTAACATATATAGAAAAAATTAGCTGGGCATGGTGATGCATGCCTGTAGTCCCAGCTACTCGGGAGGCTGAAGCAGGAGGATCGCTTGAGCCCAGGAGCTGGAGGTTGCTGTGAGCCAGGCTGATGCCAAGGCACTCACTCTAGCCTGGGCAACAAAGCGATATTCTGTCTCAAAAAAAAAAAAAGTAAAAGCCAACAAAGATCACGTGGGATCAAGAATCATCACTAGGGGGCGCGGTGATGCCTGCTTCCTCCCCCAGGAGCAGGGACACCCACCCACCCACCTGGCCATTGACAGGCTCGATCTGCTGCAGGGTGGCCAGCACGAACACTGCCGTCTTGCCCATCCCGGACTTGGCCTGGCACAGGACGTCCATGCCCAGGATGGCCTGGGGAATGCACTCGTGCTGGACTGGGGGAGAAACAGAGCGTGAGGGACCAGGAGCAGAACGCACCCTCTGCGGGGGCTCCTCCCCAGGGGGCTGGGGGACCTCAGTGAGGGCAGTCGGAAGAGGCCAAGTCCAGGGCTGGGCCGCCCACGCCTGGGCTAGGGTGTCCGCCTGGTCAAAGTGCAGTGCCATGCCACTGTGGGCAGCCACAGGCCCCCACTGGGCAGGCAGGCAGGCACCTCCCTCACCCAGGGCAGACCGAAGGCAGAGCCGCTCTGGACAGCCACGGCTGGTCTTGGTGAGAGGACGTGGGCAGGGGGTGACACCAGGGAGGCGTACCCTCAGATGGATGCTCAAAGCCACAGTCCACGATGGCCCTCAGAAGCTCTGGCTTCAACAGAAAGTCCCGGAAGCCAGAGCTGTGGATGGAAACGTAGGATCCCTTGACGTCTTTCTTAGGGGGAGCCGGAGTGCTCTCTGGAGGAGCCTGGGGCTCTTCATCTTCCTCGTAATCCAGAAGCTCATTTTCCACGTCCTGTTCTGCCATGGTGCTGAGGATAGAGGAGAGAAAGGCCCTGCGAGCAGGCACAGAAAGCCGATGAAGCTACAACTGCATGGCATTCTGGTCTCTTCCCCATAGCCGGGCCATCGGTTTCTCCTGTGCGACCCCCAGCTTCAGCCTGCGACCCCCAGCTTCAGCCCGACCCCCAGCTTCAGCCCGCCATCTCCACATCTCCCCACCCTCCTCCAAGCCCGCCCACCTCTCCCACACCCCACCAGCCACGCCCAACACCTTCCACCTCCAAGGGCTTCCTGTGGCGCTCTACTCACCGAAACCTTCAACCCGCCCAGCTTGACCCCTGCCCGCCACAGCCCACACCCACCCAGCCTTGCTTGGCTGCGCAGACTCACAGAGCCCCACCCCAAGCATGTGACCCCCCCACCCGCCACCACTGGGAATGCTCTGCTCCCAGGTCTTTGCACAAATGCCTCCTTCTTCTCAACACGCAAGTCTCAGCTCTAACGAACCTGCTTAGACCACTGAGCCCAAAGAGTCCCCTCCCCATCATTCCCCAAGGACCCCACTGGGCCTGCATGGGACAGAAGCCCAAAGACTTGGAGGTGCAGTACTGGGATGCAGGAGAAAACTGAGTTTGTGAGATGCAAGCAATTGTCTGCCCAGCCCAGCTTCTCCTGCTATCTGTGGTCTGCACAGGGGAATAATTAAGTGCTCTCATGAAAAGCCTCCCATTGGGCCCAGGCCAATAAAAATAAAGCTGGGATGGTGAGTGGAATTAATACAAAGCTCACTCACCTTCTCGATTTATTTAATCCAATGCGTACCAAGTGCCTGCTGGGTGCAGGAGCCTCAAACGTGAGGACACTTGTCTTTTGCCCTCCCTCCCGACCCCAGCCTCTGGTCTAGGGGGCAGAAGGGCTAATGCTGTCCTCTTCTTCCTGAGGCTGGGGCCTGAGGGTCCTGGGCCCATTTTCTGACCCATTTTCTCTGTGACTTCATCCAGGCCCAGGGCTTTATCCACCTCTATACTCCTACCTCCCAAAAGCTGGGTCTCCAGTGGCAATCTCACCCCTCAATTCAAGACCCAGTTACCAGCTGCCTCCTCCAACATCCTTGGGGGAAACTCGGAATATGAACTCAAAAGGCCTGGTTCTCATTCCTCAGAACAGCAGTTCCTCTGATCTCTCAGAGGCTCTGGTTGCTCCCTCCTCAACCTCCCTGTCCACCAGCCAGTGAATCCCACAGTCCCTCTGGCTACTTCGCACCCATGCCACCATGCTGGCCCCAAGCTTCCAGCGCCTTTTTTTTTTTTTTTTAACTAGCATAGCTTTACTGATATTCACATGCTATACAACTCACCACTTAAAGCACATGATTCAGTGGATTTTTATAGTCACAGACATGTGCAACCATTACCACAGTCAATTTGAGAATATTTCACCTCAAAATAAGAGCCCCTGTACCTTTTACCTATCATCCCCCATCACCTTAGCAAGCGCTAGCCTACTTTCTGTCTCTATGGATTTGCCTATAGAAAATCCCGGGTGTTTCAAAGTAACCAGGAAAAGAAAAGAAAGGAAAAAACAGGAAGAAAGAAAGACAGGGAAAAAATCAATCCTGGACATTTCACATAAATGGGACCTTACAGTATGTGGCTTTTTGTGTCAAGCTTCTTTCACTCAGCATCATGTTTTCGAGTTTTGTTCGAGGATTAGAGGTAATTTTTCTATTTTTTGTATAGAGGGGGTCTCACTCTTGCTCGGGTTGGTTTTAAACTCCTGACCTTAAGCAATCTTCCTGCCTTGGCCTCCCAGAGTGCTAGGATTACAGGCGTGAGCCACCACACCCAGGACTGTTTCTGAGGTTCATCCACGTCATAACACGTCAGGACTTCACTCCTTTTATGCTTATCCAGCATTCCATCTTAGGAGTATATCCCATTTTATCAGTGGGACATTTGGGTACCATCATCCCTTGCCTGGATTAAGCCAATAGCCTCCTCTTTGGTCTCACTGTTGCCATGCCCTGCCCCTCTCCCACAGCAGCCAGACGGAGCCTATAGAAGCTAAGTCAGAGCATGTCACTGCTCTGCTCAAAACCCTTCATGTGGCCAGACGCGGTGGCTCACACCTGTAATCCTAGCATTCTGGGAGGCCGAGGCGGGCGGATTGCTCAAGGTCAGGAGTTTGAAACCAGCCTGAGCAAGAGCAAGACCCCGTCTCTACTATAAACAGAAAGAAATTAATTAGCCAACTAATATATATAGAAAATTAGCCGGGCATGATGGCGCATGCCTGTTGTCCCAGCTACTTGGGAGGCTGAGGCAGGAGAATGGCTTGAGCCCAGGAGTTTGAGGTTGCTGTGAGCTAGGCTGACACCATAGCACTCACTCTAGTGAGTCTCACTTTGAGACAAGTGAGACTCTGTCTCAAAAAAAAAAAAAAACCCTTCACAGGCCCCCCCTATGCTCAGAATAAAACTCTCCTGACTTGGAAGGTGTTATCTTCAAAAATAAAAAAATAAAAAAAAAAAATAAAACTCTCCTGAGGGTCCCCACTATGGCCTGCCAGGCCCATTTGGACCTGACCCCTCTGTGCTCGGACCACATCTCCTCCACCACCCCTCACTCACTGGCCTTGCTGTTGCATCTCAACCACCACTTGTCACCTTTGCACTGCCTGGAACAGTCATAAGGCCCCCACTACTCTGGGCCTCCTTTGCTCCAGAAGGGCATTTTTCTCCAGCCGCAACTGAAAAGAACCCCTCCAGTCAGCCCTGCTGTGTCTAGAACAGGGCCTGGCACACTGCAGATAAGCACTCCAAAGGGACCTCCGCATGAGTGGAACTAGAATCCAGACCTTCAGGCAGAGTTGAGCATATTTCTTTATGTGACTCTTGAAACAGGCTATCTGATACCGACCCTGAGGATCCTCCCAGGCGAAGATAGGAAGGGGTCGTTTCCCAAGTTGCAGGGAAACCAGACCCTATACGGGGAAGAATAGGACTGATGGGCTGAAATGAAGGCAGAAGACAAAGCTGGAAGAGCTGGTCAGGCCCAGGGCAAATGTACTTAATTTGCTAAGCAACAGGGAATTGCTAATTAGGTTTCCCAGTCCAGTGACTCAATCAGGATTTGCCCAAGAGTACTGTAATTTGCTCCACAGATGGAGTGGGAGATTAAGACCAACAGCAGGGAAAACCAGCCACCAAATGGAAGAAGAGTAACCCAGGTGGCGAAGGAGGGTGGGACACTCCACAGGACTGGGCCAGGCCCTGGGGGACGCACGGGTAGACAACGGCCGGCGTCATCTATTCTGGGCTCCAAATCTGGGTGACCAAGAGGATATGGTGTATTTTAGATAAGTTGTTTTGTGTTGGTGGGGGCACAAATTTGGGGGCAAACTGAGTTTGGTAAGGCACAAAAATATTCCAGGAAGTGGCTGCACAGGACCTAAAGTTCGAAACAAACTAGATCAGAAGAGAGGATATGTCGGGGTCTGCCCCGACCAGAGGAGGTGGCCGCGACGGTGGAGGCCCCCAGAGCGGATAACCTTGAAAACTGACACCGGGATAAGTGACAACCCAGACGCGCCACGCGGACCCATTTTGCCTTAAGTGTCCCCAGGCGGGCTTTCTGCCCCGGACTTTGTTCTTCACTGGGGACTCCCATTTCCCAAAGAATATCTTTTTTGCCCCACATCTCTGGAGCCCGAATTCCCTAAACGTAGAGCAATAACAAGGGAGAGCGGAGGAGAGGTAATGCCCTCGGACGCGGGAGAAGCCCGCCCCGTCTGCAGGCTCCGACTGCCTCCACTGCGGCCATAGACCCCCGCGTCGCCCCCCGCTCGAATCCTTCCCCAGACAGCCCCAGGCTATTTAGAAAGGGGTTTATCTGGATATACAGCCCCTTTCCCTCTCCCAGTCAGGGTCAGCCCGATGGCGGCCATGACAGCCCCTCCCGGAAGTGGGCCCCGAGCCCCGCGCGCCAACGGCCGGCTCGTCCCTGGCGCGCATGCGCCCCGGCGCCCAACGGCCGCCAGCGAGGGCGCCAGACTCCCCAACCGCCCCGTCCCACTGTCATCTCGCGCCCCTCCTCTCGCTCCTCCCGCCATCCCCGGCGTCTCCCCTCGCCCGCTCGCCCTCAGGCAGACATCCTCACACCGCGGTCCCGCGCCGGGGACCCGCCACTCACCTTGTTCCCCGTTCGCCTCCGCGTGCTGAGAGGAGAGTCGCCCAACCCAGTTCTCTGCCGCGCGCCTCGATACGAGCGAGCTTCCTGCCTCCTGCGTCCGACCGCCGCTCCGCTCACTGGGCCGCTGCCTTTTCATTCAAGAGAGACGGAAGCGGTGATTGGAGACTTCGGGACTTGTCGAGACGCTATTGGTGGAAAGGGGTAAAAAGGGCGTGCCTCACGCCTCGGGTTCATTGGTCAATCTAAAAGTAGGCGCGCCCGAGTGAGCTGACTGAGACCGCGCCGGCTGCGCGGAGTCTCGTGATCTGGGTTTGGCCACACCCCCACGGGTGCCGCCCTGTTTAGTACTGGCAACTGAAGGCCAAACGGTTGGCTGGGAGCGTGTGCCCCACCCTTTCTTTCTTTCTTTCTTTCTTTTTTTTCCCCTTTCATTCCCAATAATTGTATTAAACGTCCCACCCTTTGAAAGCGAGGCTTCTGCGATGGACGCTGACCCCAGAGCTCTCAGATCGCCGTCATCCGCGGTCTGCGGGGGTCTTCCCCGGACTCGAGGAAGATTGGGAGCTTGGAACGGCTCCAGTACACAGGACATCCTGCACTACGTAGATTTCTATCACTGTAGTTTTTGTCTGTTCTTACATTTCATATAAATGGGACTTATTTTGCTCAACAAACGGTTTCTGAGATTGGTCCGTGTTGCCAGGCGTGTCAATAGCGCGTTCTTTCTTTCTTTCTTTTTCTATATATTAATTTCTTTCTATTTTTAGTAGAGACGGGGTCTCACTCTTGCTCAGGCTGGTCTCGAACTCCTGACCTTGAGCGATCCTCCAGCCTCGGCCTCCCAGAGTGCTAGGATTACAGGTGTGAGCCACCCTGCCCGGCCTAGTGCGTTCTTTCCTATTGCTAAGTAATAGTCCGTTGTGTGTCTATACTGCAATATAGCCAGCCAACACCTGTATAGTTTGTTCATTCACCTGTCGAAGGCTGGTTGATCCTTTCCAGTCTTTGGCCATTGTTAGTAAAGGTTGTACTGTATAAGTATTTCTGTGAACATAGTCTGCATTTCCCTAGAGTAAGTACCTAAGAGTGGAATGGTGGGTCGTAGGTCATGAGCTTTAGTAGAGTACGACAGGTTTCTTAAGTGGTTATTCCAGGCCGGGCACGGTGGCTCACGCCTGTAATACTGGCACTCTAGGAGGCCGAGGCGGGTGGATTGCTTGAGGTCAGGCGTTCGAAACCAGCCTGAGGAAGACCCCGTCTCTGCTATAAATACAAAGAAATTAATTGGCCAACTAATATATATAGAAAAAATTAGCCGGCATGGTGGCGCATGCCTGTAGTCCCAGCTACTCGGAGGCTGAGGCAGGAGGATTGCTTGAGCCCAGGAGTTGGAGGTTGCTGTGAGCTAGTGACGCACGGCACGCACTCACTCTAGCCTGGGCAACAGAGCGAGACTCTGTCTCAAAAAAAAAAAAAAAAGTGTTATTCCATTTTCCACCTTTTTTTTTTCCTTTTTTAGAGACAAGATCTCACTCTGTCACCCACGCTGGGCTCAAGTGATCCTCCCACTGCAGCCTCCAGAGTAGCTAATTTTTTTTTGAAGAGACAGTGTCTCACTGTGTCACCCAGGCTGGCATTGAACTCCTGCTGGCAAGCGATCATCATCCCAGCCTGGGCAACACAGTGAGATCGTGTCTTTACGAAAAAAATTTTAAAAGTAGTCAGGCATAGTGGCCCATACCTGCAGTCCCAGCTACTCAGGTGGCTGAGGCAGGATGCTCCCTTGAGCCCAGGAGTGTGAGGTTGCAGTGAGCTATTAGGGACTGAACATTTGTGTCCGCCAAATTCATATGTTGAAGTCTTTAATCCCCAACGTGATGGTATTTGGAGATGGGCCTTTTGGGAGGAGATTAGGGTTAGATTATGTCATTGGGTGGCGGGAGTCCTCATGATGGGATTAATGCCTTTATAAGAAGAGGAAGAGGGGCCGGGCGCGGTGGCTCACGCCTGTAATCCTACCACTCTGGGAGGCTGAGGCGGGCAGATCACTCAAGGTCAGGAGTTTGAAACCAGCCTGAGCAAAAGCGAGCCCATCTCTACTAAAAAATAGAAAGAAATTAATTGGCCAACTAAAAATATATAGAAAAAATTAGCCGGGCATGGTGGCACATGCCTGTAGTCCCAGCTACTCGGGAAGCTGAGGCAGGAGGATCGCTTGGGCCCAGGAGTTTGAGGTTGCTGTGAGCGAGGCTGACGCCACGGCACTCACTCTAGCCTGGGCAACAGAGTTGAGACCCTGTCTCAAAAATAAATAAATAAAAGAAATAATACATTATAGTTAAAGCGAAAGTCACCTGGGTTCACCACCCCAATTCCACTTCCCTCCAGCACAGAAAAAAAACATCTTTAATGATGCGGAACAATGACTGCACCTCTGCTCTGTGCTTTACAAGAAATTATAGGCATTTGTCACTTAATGACAGGGAAACTTTCTGAAAACTGCGCCCTTGGTGATCTTGCTGTGTGAACGTCAGAGTGCGCTTACACAAACCTAGCTAGCATGGCGTGCGACACCTAGGCTCCATGGCGAATGGCCTATTGTCCCTGGACTACAAACACGTACAGCACGTTACTGTGCTGAATTCTGGAAGTAATTGCAACACAATGGTAAGTATTTGTGCGTCTGAATATATCTAAAGATAGGAAATGCATAGTAAAAATATGGTATTAGCATCTAGTGGGAACACTGTTGCATGTGTGGTCTGTGATTGACTGAATGTCCTATGCGCATTGGGTGGCTGTAATTCATTAAGCTGACAGCTTCAGTGCAACCCCTTATGAACTGGGGATAGGAGGCTCGCTAGTACCATTCCATGTTTCATTTGGGATTGGGTCATTTATGTATGAGTCAGAGTTTGTTGTCTCTCACTCTGTTGCCAAGGCTAGGAGTTGCCGTGCTTGTG